AGTTTGCTTTCCTCCCTTGAATTTAGCTGCCAATTAGTTAAAAAAGTATTTTTTTTAAGCATATAATAATAATCTTATTCATTAACAGGTTTTAAATTTCTTATAAAACAACAAAAGTCCTGTCTACACCACTGGTGTTTTTGTTTGTCATTGTGTAATGTTTCTGTTGTGATGTTTTGTGTTGATAGACAGCTTGGCTTACCTTCACGCTGGTGTCTATCGTTAAAAATGATTATTAGCTAGCTTCATTACTGAAACTACTCCTTCTAATCATTCACTAAAAGCCAAGAAATATTTTTTTTGAATAAATGCCTAATTTTTTTATCTCAATGTGACTTTTTATCTTTAGCATTGTTGATAAAATAGCTTTTTAAATAAAGAGTGTTTCCAGCCTTCCAATCAAATACTAGAGACTTCCACAAAAGCGATCTCACAAAGTAAGTTTCTTATTTAGTGTTTGATAATTGACTAAGTTTCGTCACCTTTTATATATTTTTTTACATCTTATTATGTAATTTTTCAACATTTAGACAACTTTTAAATAACTTTAAACAACTTTTATATGTGTATTCAGTGTTTTATATAACAATATTTTTCTTCATTTTATAGGTAGATTTCCTGTTATAACTGGTTTAAAAATTGTTAATCGTTAATCATTTTTTAAAAGCGTTTACTTTTTCTAAAGACGTATTATTAATACCATTAGTAATACGTCTATTCATACATTATCAAAAATACTTTATCAAATGTATATTCATACCATTTACTAAAAGCTATCTTCTCTATATATTATTGCCGAACTTAATAGTGTTAGTAGCGCTCTTTCGAGCGTGTTTGACAAACCCATGGCAACTATTGCAACCAAAGTAATGGCGAGGAAGAGTCTCAGCACTCTTTGATAAATAAACGTAAACAAAAGTGTATGCAAATATCTAACTTACGTAAACTTCAAAATATGAAATGTTAAAACATACAAAAACATGTCAAGTTTTACAGTTTTACTTTCACTTAAAAACAGCATTGCGGCAACGTCTCTTTAATTTTGATCGATTTACAAAGTCTTTTATTTATTATATATTTTTGAAATTTTCGTCAAAATGCCGTGGTTAGCCTTACGTAAACTTTTATTTATTATAATTTTAAATTTGTTATTTCTCATGTTATTTTAAGTCGTATTAGCGCAAAGAAATTGGGTATATAACATGTAAATATTTGGAACTATAAAGTTGTTTTGTTTTGCATTTTAAATAACAATAATTTTATTAAAAAAAGCAAGCTGATGATTTGAACTTGCCACGCGGCGACCTTGAACTTTTTTAAAACAGTGAGGGGGTTTTAAAAAAAACATTCTTATTTAAAAAAACTTTAAAAATCTTAAATTTATTTTTAAAATAAATTATTTTATTGAACTTATTATTTTTCAAAATAATAAAACGTTAAAACTATTTAATTTAAAATAATAAAAATATTTAGAATTTTACAGTTACTTATTTACGCCCCCGTTAAATATTCTAAACCGAGTGCGCAACTATGACAGAATTTAGAAAACCAATAAAATTGTAAGATACTCTGTTTAATATTGGAAGAGTCTACTCGGATGCTATAAACTAATGGACTCTATTATGTTTCTTTTTGTAATGTTTTTCTAACGGTTAACAAATAAAAGCAAAGCGGAGATACATTAACTGAGCGTTTAGGTTTGGGCAGGCATTCTTTTAAATTAAAGAAAAGAGTTTTGATACTTATTTAAATAGGGTTAATAAAATATTTTAAATTATATATATTATATTTAAAAAATTATAAAACTAAATTACATATGATTTTTAGATGAAACAGTAAAAATAATTGTTTAAAATACGTGCGTGCAAATAATTCCTACCAATACTAAACGTAAAAAAACGCTTACAAACACCAAAAGTATATTTACCGTGAATAAAATTAAGTTCAAAGAAAAATTGGAAGAAATGTTTAAAACTGTTTCAATAATAACATTTATTTTTAATTATTTTTGTTGTAAGTTGGGATGAAAAAAAAGGTCACTGGAATATGAACTCCCGGGGTGAGATGACTATATCTGTCTAAGTGTTGCGCGGCTACCAATTAGCCCATAAACGTATTCTCTATTTAGAATTTGAGATAATATATGACGCATAAGAAGTGTAATTAAAAATTCAAAACCAAGTTTGGAACAACTGAATTTAAAAAAAATCTAATTAGATGTGTATATGTTATGAACGTTAACTAAGGCGTACTTTAACGGCATCACGTGCTGAATGTTTTAGCATTTTTCAAAGTTCGTAGTCTTTTTTACGTTTTTTCTTATTAAAATCTTTATAATCGACATAATATTAAAAGCGTTTAAAGTTTTTTAAAGAACATTATAACGTTATATAATGAAATTTTTTTGTCATATCAAAAAGTAAGTATAGTTTTTTATATGTACATAGTTTTTAAAACGGTTTTAAAAAAGTATTGAGGTAAGGAATAAGTATAGAAAAGGTCGGTGTGGAATAGATTTACTAAGACCCTTATTTTACGTCCTGATAGCTATAGAAATGATCAGATAAGTATAAAAATGGTCGGTTCGGTAAAGACCCGTATTTTACGGGTCCGCCCAGCTAGTATATTATAATTTTTATATATTATTATTATTATATAATATAAATATAGGGTTTTTACTTGTCAATATAGAAATTCCAGCAATATTGCATAATTTTTTTGTAGTAAATAAACGAATTTTGTTGTGTAACAAAAATTGTGGATTTTAAGTCTAGAATTTAAATCCATAAGACACAGCAAGCCTTAGGTTATTACAGAAGAGAGATCAGATTTAAACTTTGCTGCTTGTTCTAAGCAATTAAAAAGTGAGGTTTTATTGTCAAGACAAGAGTATAAAGTGGAGTTAGATAACTAATGAACAAGTATAATAAAAAAGATAACTAGCATGATTTTTTATATTTTTTTATATTACGATAGCCTTAAATTACATAAAAATGCTTGAAGTTTACTTTATAGTAAATGTTCATTAAGTATTAAAAAAAGTTTTTTTTATGATAAATGTTCTGTTCAATTTTAGTTCTGTTAAGTTGTTTTTGATCTTTTTGTTTGTTTGTTTTTCTTTAGAATCATTAGAATATGTAAATAATGTAATATAAATATTTTTTATAAATTCTTTTATATTTACTTTATAATTTTTTTTTAATTTTGTTTTATTTACTACATTATAAGCCGACAGGTTTGACTGGCGATATAAATAATGTTTGTCATTGTTTATATCGTTTAGAACATCGTTACTTTTTATATGCATTTAATATTTTTAAAAATAGTTCAAAAGTTGTCAAAATAAAATGGTGAATTTAGTCTAAATTAACCAGAAAAGATATAAAAGTAATCTATGGGATTCAACTTGTAAGGATGTTCCAGGAACATCCTTACAAGTTGAAGAAAGAAAACTGTGGTATTTTTTTAAAAATATCAGAAAGGGAAGTTAATTAATGCACAAGATTTTAGTTCATAGTTAAATCTAAGCATATAAAAACAATGTTTATAAATAATGCACTATTATTTATTATAATACAATTATTTTAATTTGTTTATATTTAACTAATGTAAAGTGTTCGTCTTTAGTTAAAATAAATTGATTTATGCACACACTTTGATACTTATTATTCTTTTACATTACTATACTTTATACATTACATATTTATTATATTTGTTATGTTTTAAGTAGTATAGTAAAAATATTATAAATTTTTGAACTTAATGATGTGTGCATAAGTTCTTTTATTTTATCTTTATCATTTTATTTAAATTACTGCATTATAAGCAGGTACGTTTGACTGACAATTATAAATAATGTTGTACATCATGCAGACAGCTTAGACAAAGAAATAAGTTTTTTACTTAAAATTACAATTTATAACTTATATATGTGTATAAATGAAAAGATTTATACACATATATAAATGTTACTAACATGCAGGTAAAATTTATATATGTGTATAAATCTTTTCATTTTAACCTTATCATTTTATTTAAATTACTATATTATTTGCAGGTAGGTTTGACTGGCAATATAAATTTTTAATTTATTTATTTAGCCGTTTATCAACAAGTCCCGTGCTTTAAAATATATATAAAGATGGTAAGGACGTGAAGAAAACAGGTTTGTAAATGCTGTTGTACATCATGCAGATAGCTCAGGAGAAGAAGTAAGTTTTTTTTTTAAATACAAAAATAAATAAGTAATATAATATTTGTTGCTGCCTTGTTCTATATTAATGTTTCAAACATGCAGGTAACATTTATATATGTATTAGTTTGAATAAATCATTTTAATTAAGTACAATTATAAGCAGGAATGTTGTACGGGAAATATAAACGCTCTTGTACATATTGCAGACCCAATAAGAAAAATGACGTCGGAACAACGTTGTTCTAACGTCTTTCGTATCGTTGGAAAGACGTTGGCATGATGTTATAAATGAAACACTGAAAAAACGTCATTTTACTAACGTTATTACAACGCTGTAAAATGACGTGGTGACAACGTTACATTTTAGCTAATTGACGTCGGAAAGACGTTAGAGCAACGTTAAATTTGAAGAAAAAAGACGTTATAAGGACGTTAGGCTAACGTTATATTTTAGCTAAAATGACGTTGAGCCAGCGTCTTTTCTATCGTTTTTTACACGGTGGAATAATGGCATATATGAAACATAAGTCAACGTTATTAACAATGTTGCGAAACGTTGTAAGAAAAACGCCCTCCAACGTTTTTCTATCATTTTTGATATTATTTCTACACTGCAAAAAACAATAAAGGACAATTTTACACTGTATAACTTTGCGCTGTCAAGCTATATTTCTTCTTATTTATTTAGGTCATACACGATTAGGTCATACACGATTATATTTATTAGGTCATACACGATATTATATTAGTCCGGGCAAATAATTGAATACGAAAATTAAAAGACTAAAAATAAATAAACATTGCATCACTTCTATTCCAAAATTTTAAAATTATATACAATAACTTAAAATGAAACTAGTTTGATTTTTACTTTCTTTGCAAATTTCAATCATATCTCAAATAATTCGCGTATTCTTTGTTTGACACTAAAAGACAAATATATATGAAGAAACATAAAGTTACAAACAAATCCAATAAAAAGTATTTTTAAGAACTAAATAAAAAACATTCGGAATAAACAAATAGAAATACCACAAATATCAGAAATTGCGCTAACTTTCTAATTGATGCTAACTTGAGTTTTTCTGCTTTCGAAAGATTATCGACTGTAAATCGTTTAGCAACATTATCTGAAATAGAATAAACAATACCTCAATAAAATGCAAAACTAATGAAATTGCCTCCAAAATAATTTTATTTGAATAAATAAACAAAATTAATTTAAAACACACAATCATGAAATAATGAAAAAAAAATATGTCTAGTTTTAATTTCAAAAGATATAAAATATCTTTGAGTTTAGATTTCTGGAAAGTTATTTTTTTACAAGTGTAATTTTGGCAATATATTTTTTTATAACATGAATTGCATGGTAAATAAAGAAACTAAAATGGTACATTTTCACTAAGCAAAGAATCAAAAATTGTTTTTATAAATAGCTCTCTTTAAGACTAATGATTACTTTGTTAGGTGTTTTTTCTTCCAATCCGAACTACTTATATTTTACTTAAACGCTTGACCATTTGAGCAAGTGGCATCTTCTTACCAAAAGCCAATAATTTTTTAAATAAAAAGGCAGACATATCAAGAAACAATCATTCAGAAAACTATAAAAAATGAATAAGGTTATGTAAATTGTATGTTATGAATGTTGGACCATAATAATCCACAGCCTTAATAATCCAGCCATCCAAACCAATTCAATAGCATCAATGCATAACCAATGCATTGATTCTGCTAATTTAATTTGTATCTTCAGTGCATAGAAACCAGTATACAAAAGAAATTAACTGTATACCCAGCCGGCAAATAACGTTGAAATAACGTTGAAATATCGTTGAAACCTAACGTTGAATTAACGTTGATTTAACGTTTAGAATGAAAGTTTTTTTCAACGTTGATTTATCAACGTTAAATCAACGTTAGATTCAAACGTTATATCAACGTTGATTCGACGCGAAAAAACGTTACATCAACGTTGAATTTACGTTGATACAACGTTTAAAATGATAGTTTTTTTAACGTTGATTTATCAACGTTAAACGACTGTAAAACACTTTTTCACCATCAAAACGTGCTATGTATGTCAAAATGTATATATGTATGTAAATGTGCTATGTGCATCAAAATATGATCACCATCAAAACGTACTATGCATGTACATTAGTGTTGCTGTACATTATCAAGGTATATTATGGATATTAAATCTATTCATAGTCTATACTTAGACTATTTAGAACTTTTTCAGTTTAGTTTAGTTAAAATAGCTAGGTATGATTAAAGAAAGTGATAAAACTTGTTTTATTCAAAAATACATATTCAAATATTACATATATTTTCATGTAATTGAATAAAATCTACACAAATTTCTTTTCTTTTCCACCACCTTTTTGAAATAAAGCGTAATTTAGAAAGTCAAACAATGTTCCATTAACCGAGGGTTTTTTTGGTCCATTGAATGCAATAGAAGAAGCTGTAAATAAAAAAAATATATTAAAAATATCAAAAAGAGAAGATTTAAAAAATAAATAATAAATGGAAAAGTGTTACATCTTATGAAGGCACATCTTTTTCAACGCCATATAGATTAGTGTTCTTAGAACATATTTTTCCACCATTGCGCTTCATATCCATAGAGACCATATAACTTTTCGAAAGTACTCTGAATTTTTAAAAAATAATATAACTGTTAGTTGGTTATTAATAACTTTTTCAAATATTTATTTTAAATAAAACAACCTTTTTAATATATTAAAAATAAATTAATAATCAAAATACAAAACATTTCTAGCATTGAAAAATAATTTTCGGGGTGGCCACATAAAATTTTTATAAGAAATTTTATGTGGCCATTTATTAATGGTTTAACGTCTATGTTTATACACTTATGGGGCTTGGACAGGGATCAAATAATGTCATTTGTTATATGAAATAGCATGCATTTTCTAAAGCAATTTTTTACAACTCCATGCACTTTAAGGCGTTAACCAGTTTTGCAGACCGAGAATGGGTATTTTGAACATTATACATCCATCAAAAATTAAAAAAGGAAGAATTAATGAGGAGCTTTGATCAAATTTTTACCTCTTTAGAGGATAATAGAGGATTTTAGAAGTGGTTTTAAAAAAAGAGGACTTTAGAGGATTTTAGAGGAGCTGCAGACACCCTGATTATAAATGAAGTAATTCCACCAATTAACTGTAATTGATTTATCTGTAAAAAAACATGAAGTAAATCTAATATTATGCTTGTGGAGATATATTATATTGTGGAGAACCATCCAAACCACACAAGTGGAAAATTTGCATCCAAGTTTCCACTTGTGTGCAAATCTTGCATCCTCTTATCAACATTCTCATTATCACATTTTTCTATTGTCGTTGTGAATTTAAAATTTTCACAATACTGTTTGCTTTCTTTTAGAATTGAAATAGTTATACAAATAGTTATATATTTTGTATCAACAAAATAACTCTTCTTACCACATTATTTAAAAAATAATAATTGTAATATATAGATGTAATACCTGAAGAGAATTTAGTTTTTATTTGTATAAACTTTAGCCAATTCTTCTCTGCATTTTAGTGCAGTCAATGCTTTGGTACCTGGAAGCCGACAAACAGTTTTAACACTAATCCAATTAGATGGAATTACTTCTTCTTGTAAACCTTCATTCCAAACAGCTCCTTTCCGCATACTCGATTTTGAAAAAATTACATGAACTAATATAAAATGAAGAAACCATAATATAAGTGTACTAACAGGCCTAATTAAACTAGCTAAATTTGAACATTTTATAACCATGATACTTGCTAAACAATAATATTAGTAGACATTATAAGCAAAGATAAGATTTTCTTTATTGTATAAATTTATTTTATTTTAAACTCATTATTATTAATTTATTTATTACTCTATGATTCAGCAGAGTTCTGAACATATTATGTTCAAATAACTTAAGGCTTAATAACAAAGGCAAATAATGAAAGAATACTAGGTTGCTAAAACATAAACATCTACATAAGATAATTATGGAATATTGAAAAAAAAAATAGAAATACAAAAAAACAAAAATACTCGTTATTAATATAAAATATAATAGTATAATATAAGGTATATTATAATATATGACACAATAATATTTACTTTTAATTAAAATATAAAAACAACAAAAATTAAAAAAGAAAATATTTTGATAAATAATAAATTATCATTCAAACAATTTTCAAGACTAAAAAATAACTTATTTTTTTACTTATCTTCATCTAATAAACATTAACTTATTTTTTATTCATCTTCATCTAATAAACATTAATATTAATACCAATTTTAAACATTATTAGAATTTTTTTTTTTTTTATTAAAAAATAAAAATATTACATCAGTTACTTTTTGGGCTTTTCTTATTTTACTTAAAACATCAACTCAATTCAAGGCTTTTTTTATAATTGAGTTTTAATTTGTAATGTTGAACTAACACTGAAAAAATATATATTAGCAGACAAAAAGAAAATATTTCTTTATTGAAATATATGTAAATATATCAATAAAGAAATTTTAGATTGATTTTTATGAATATAAATTTATATCAATCAATCTAAATTTTTTTCTTTTCCGCCACTTTTTCGAAATGAAGCGCATTTTTAGAAGTTAGACAAAATGCCATCAATTAAAGTTTCAGTCGCTCCATCGTATTTAATAGAAGAAGCTGTTAATAAAAAAAAATTTGAAAAAAAAAAAAAAAAACACAAGGAGAAATTTTTGAATATATAAAAAATGAGAATAAAAAAGATTTACATATCTTATAAAGGTATACCTTTCACTACACCATATAAATTAGTGCTCTTAAAGCATATTTCCACCTTTCCCCTTCATATTCATGGAGGTCACAAAATTGTTGGAAAATATTCTAAATTTTAATAGATAAGAGAACTGATATTAATTATGCGAGAACTAATATTAATTTTTTTTTTAATTTAAATTGAACTCATTATCAAACAATTTTTTTTCTAAATAATTTAATCCTTAAAATTCCTGAATAATATAAAATTATTTTGATTACCTCAGCATTTTAAAGATATTCCATCAATTGCAATTGATTCACCTAAAAAAAAACAACAAGTAAAGCTTATATTATTGTTTGAAATTTTAATTATCTTTATACAAATACTCATCATATTTTTAAAGTGACTGATAAAAATGGATTTAATTAAAATCACTTCATTTGTATTAAAAAATTAATATTAAAGCCTTAATTATACATTATACAAGAGTATTTTGTAACACAATCTAAATAGTTGTTGCGATATGTAATTTTTTAATCCAAAATTTAGCTTCTGTAAGCTTTAGAAATTTTTTAAAGAAGTTATTGATGAATTTGGAGCTACGGGTACTTATGTTTTTATATTGTTGTAATGTTTGTATTCATTCCCTGTTAGTTTCTGTAAGTCAAAATTTTAAGGTGTTTCCATAATAAATTCTGTTATATCTGAAATTTAGTGTTAGCCTGAATAATTTAATTTCTAAAATCTGTTTTGCATTGCCTATTTTATAACGTCTTTACTTGGAACAAAAACCATGTGGTTTAAAAGTGAGCTAGAAGCTTTCAACAATGAAGAAAATATTGCATTCGCTAATCCTAAAAATATATTAAACCTGTCAGCAAAATCAGCTGTCAATAATCCAAGTATTAGCATCATTAAAAATTTATCTTTGCTGCATTACATTTATTTTGGTCCAAGTAGTTAAGGAATTTTTTAAATTTCAAAAAACAGAAGTAAATGTTTTTAATCTCACTTTATCTCTTTTGATTAATGGTGATAATGCACTAACTGATGAAACACATTGACACATGTATGTCCAGTATAAAAGTCGCAAGATCTATTATTTTTAAAATAAATGTTTGTATACAATTAAATTGCAATAACACGATTTGTTTGGATTATGTTTATATACAAATTTGTCTGTTTTCATAGTAATAACTGATGTGGTTGAAGTTAATTTTTCATATAAATCTTTATTTTTTTATTTCGTGCTGAAGTTCTTTTTTAAAGTTATCAATTTCCTTTTTTAATTCTTGAAGCTCTATTAAAAAACAACGCTTAGCATTAAATTCAACATAATTTAATGGATCATTTTTTGAAAAAGTTGTATTATATTTACATTTAACAATATCAGTCTTTGAGCATTGTAGCCCAAGTTAAACGAAAAATATCGATTTTTAAACGATAATGTTCTTTCAGGAAAATCGTCTGAACATGTTTTCGATCTCTTGAAAATTCTATATGGTTCAGTATTTACATTTTTTTTCCATTATAAATCTCTATAACTTTAACCGTTAAAATGATGTTTACGTTTTTACTTCCATTTCCGCGCGCGCATAAATTTTATATCGTATTTTTTTGTCAACAATGATTGAAATAATGACGTTGAGATAACGTTAAATAATCAACGTTTAAACTGTAACGTTGATTTAATGTTGAAATAACGTTAAATAATCAACGTTTAAACGGTAACGTTGATTTAACGTTGTGACATAGTTGAACAACGTTGAAACAACGCTTCAACCGAATTTCAACGTTGAAACAACGTAATAATGCCGGCTGGGTAGCCTTTTATTTTTTAAAACTCCGCCTGTGATCTAGACTTTCTGTTTTTAACAATGGTTTTTTACCATCTAATTTTGTTAAAAGTCATGAGACTTTTCAGAAATATGATTAATTTGAACATATGACAAATCACATACCTCTGGCTCCGTTTTTTCAAAATATTAATAATTAACGAACAATCCCAAAACAAACTATATAATATAAACTAGATGATATATTATATAAACTAGATGTCAAACTTGCGGTCCTTTATTAAACAAAAAATAATGTCGCTTTTTTTGCTTAAAAATATAATTTGCCATTTGTAAAAAGTGTTAAAGCTGAAGCAAATGTGTGGAATAAAAGTTCAAAATGCGAGTCAAAATTAACGAATAAATTAAAGATAATTCAAAAACATGTTATAATAAATATAAATTACTTATCAAGGTTTATTTAAGGTTTATTTCTATTTTAAATTTTAATCCCTTTTTAACCAAAAATAAATTTAGAAATCATAAAATATTACTTTACAAGTACTCTAATTTCCTCCTAACACTTTTACATATATAGATTACATATATAGATTTAAAATATATTACATATATAAAAATATATTCACTTCATATATAAAAAAATATTTAAATAGTATTTGTTTACAAATTTAATCTGTCATTTGTAAAAAGGACAAAAGCGGCTTCACTTTTTGGATTGAAGTAGGTGTTTTAGTAACATTTATTTCCTATGCCCATGTTGCTGCATTCAGACAAGCAAATTATATAATGAAAAATGTGCAACTAAATGTTTAACTGGCCATTGAACAAGGTCAAAAATTAAAAATCAGGACAAATATCGAAGGGTTTACTAAAGGAGCACTTTTTATAGAGAGTTTAGTAAAATATAACATAGAATCACTTTCAAAAATATTAAAACTATTGGAATAGGCTTAAAGAAAAAATCACTGATTAAACTTAAATAATTATCATTTTCTAATAAACTGTTTATCAAACAATTAGCCTTTCACAATATAATTGATCGTGATATCATCATACATTTATATTTGTTTATCTGTAGGCACAAATATATAAACTTATATATATTTTTATATAAACATATATATATATATATATATATATATATATATATATATATATATATATATATATATATATATATATATATATATATATATATATATATATATATATATATATATAGGCTTGGTCGGGAAGCGGGTGCGATCGCACTCGATATTTGACCACGGAAATTATATTTAGTTGCGAAAAACCGGCCAGATTTTTTAGGCGTTTTGAGAACATTTCAAAAACAAGCAAAAAAGTGCAATAAGATAAACTGGACCGATGAGAGACAGTTAAAAAAAGAAAAATAGTTTAAAAAAAGTGACATTTTTTGTATATAGTAATAACGTACTAATAATGATTGTTTAATAAAGAAGCAAATGTTCTTCAATTTATCAAAGATTATATATAATTTTTATTTATATACTTTTGACTTATTTCCAGTGCTGGAAATAAGAGGTGGGGGGGTAGAAGAGCTATAGTCCCGGGACACACAATGTTATGGGCCGAGAAATAGTCAAGAGGACCTATCGGTATTTTTAAGTCATTTTTACGCTGTTGCACATAAAAAAGGCCACCAAAATAATGCAGCCCCCGTCCCTGTAAAATCCAACAAGATTAAACCAATTAAACTAACGCTACATAATTTAATTATAAATAAAAAAAGTTTTTTCAGTACCTGTTTTATGCTTCGCTTAGTTTGAAAAGTTTAACATATTTGAAACAATTCTTCTTAGTAAGATAAACAAATGAAATAACTAAATCATTGAGTTACTGTAGAAATTTAATTAGCTAGATAGAAATTAACTAAAAACGTTAAATTATTTAGTAAGGAGGAAGCGGAACTGCTTACCAATATCGCTGATGATGTTTAGTGAGTGGGCTTTATATCTTTAACTAGTATTTTACAGAAAAAAGTAACTTTAAGTGTAAGTATAACGAGTTTGTAAGAATGGCTGAAGCAAAAATAGTTGAAGTTAATAAACCAATTTCTAATACATTACATACATATAAATATATCCCTTATATATAAAAAATAAGATTATACTAATTAAATCTATAATATATTTACAAAACGTTGACAAGTTTAAAAATATAAATTTAAAACATTTATTTTTGTAAACAAATGTTAGTTTAAAACATTTATAGCTTTGTAGATGGGACTCCGAGAATGAGCCACTGTATTAAAATAATTGTTCGCTTGATAGTATATTCTTAAAGCAATTGATGCTAGAAATCTCAACGAAAACATAACAAAACTCAAATTATACGATTTTGAAAAATAATTCAACAGAATACTCTAGAACATTCGCTTGAATTCTTTAGTAATTTCAGTTATTAATTAATTGAACCAATAGAATTAGTTGTTCGTAAAATTGGCGGGTTTTTTGTGTTTGCAAATATTCTTTATTTATTTTTCCGCACTAAGATGTTTGACAACATTCAAGTTTATATAAGTTTCCACGTACGTCCGTAAAACAAAATCATTTTAATATTTACAATAAAATGAACTTATTATTTTGCGGACAAACAAGGAAACATACATAAATTGAAATGTTCTCAAAACGCCTGAAAAATCTGGCTAGCTTTTCGCAAGTAAATATAATTTCCGTGGTCAATTATCGAGTGCGATCGCACCCGCTTCCCGACCAAGCCTGTATATATATATATATATATATATATATATATATATATATATGTATATATATATATATATATATATATATATATATATATATATATATATATATATATATATATATATATATATATATATATATATATATATATATATATATATATATATATATATATATATATATATATATATATATATATATATATATATATATATATATATATATATATATATATATATATATATATATATATATATATATATATATATATATATATATATATAGTTACTTATAACAATTTATTCATATATAGTTAATAAAATTCTTAATACTTTTGACATGGATACTTTATAGTATTATAAATACAAAAATTTTATAAAAATTTAGACAATTTTCATAGTTCAAATTAGCATTTTTTAACTTTTAAGAAATGAACTTTTATAATAAAAATACTTCAAAATGTTCTATTGATATCATTTTTATAGCCATTTGTATTAGTTCGCACATATAATATATAAATATTCACATGCAATATGTATACTCATTTAAAGTAATATTCAAATAATAATTAACAAAATCTTTGCATTTACTCATAATGCCTTCAATGTTCTGAATATACATAAAACAAATAAAAATATATATGAAGAAATACAAAAGTTACCTCTGAAATAAGTCCTTAACATATTTTGGTAACTTTCCGCCAAAACGTGAGAGTTGGCCTAAAAAAGAAAAAATTATAAAAAAGGCACATTGAAGTGTTTTACAAATAAGATCTTATTTAAATATTTTTTACTGCATTCACCAAGGTCAAGCCTTAAAGACCCAAGCTTATTTAAGAAACAGTTAGAACTGAATAAGTATTTTGCCATGATTCAATCATGGCAAACTCATAAATATAAAACATTTTTATTCACTAAATTTTGTAACAAAAATAAAATTTTAAAACAGAATTATTCAATATTGTTTTTTCACAATTTTGTTAGGCTGCAACCAATCTAAAATGTTTAAAAATATTTAAAGGCTGAATAAATAGGATGACATAATTTGTAACAGCAAATGATTTAGATTCATTTTAATAAAGTGATTGTAAATTTTTTGATGTTTCAAAAGCTGGGCGTTAAAATATATTGTCCAGGTTTTGTTCTCTAAATCATGTTAAACATATTGAAATCAAACTCACAAACTGTTGAGCAAAACCTTTGTTACCAATTCTTTGCGTAAACTCGTTCAAATATTCTATTGTTAAGTTTAAGATTAAATAATGTAATTATGTATATTTAAGTCGACTTGTTCTGATTTTAATCACCTTGATAACTTAGTACTTTAACTCTGCACATAAAAATTGAAGAAAAATAATAACATTCAAAAAATATATATTATTACTTGGCGTGAGTTTTATTAAAATATAAGATTAATTAGTTTTTCGGTTAGAAAGATAAGAGAATAAGTAAATGATAGTACTATGACGATATATATGTATTTTGGTATAACATATCAATTTTAAAAACTATATCATATCACATAAAACTATATCATATCACATATCATATACAAAAACTACACACAAATATATTTGACATGTACTTAATTGAAATACTTCGGAGTTATTGAATTGAGAGGGGGTTAGAACCACAATTGAAATAAAAAGGAGCCTCTTCAACTGCAGCACCCTTTATGGCCTTTATGTCCAAAATCAGCTCTTTCTTTTAACTCTGAAATTAGGGAAACATGAGTTTGTGATTCGTTTTGAAAATTAAATACTGACTGAGTGTATATCATCTAACACTTTGCGTGTATTGATTTAAATAAATATTTTGTTTATTATGACTAAGATATAGAGTAAAATTTAGATGTTCTGTTGCTGTTTCTGTAGGATATGTTTTTCGCTTGCTTCATAGTGAGAAGTTATGAGTTCTATCCTTACCATGTTCCAAAAAATAAAAATAAAAATAACTTAATAGAAATACATAAAAAACTGTTTACCCTTTTTCGTGACTTGAGACTCAAACTTATGAGAGCCAGTGTTAGTTATAATATTGTAGGAATAGCATGATATGATTATACCAATATACAAATTCGTAAAAGAAACACATTACACAAGTTATAAGAAGCTTATTAGGTAATTTCTAGTCTAGTTCCACAACAAACTAAAAAAATTTCCATTCAAATAAATAAAATATATATTATGATTAAGACATTGTATTAATATAACCTTATTGTCTTAAATTTATACTTAATATATTATGTATATTAAGTTAAAAACTTGTTTTAATACAACTTACAACTGTCTTAGACAACTGAATTGAATGTCTTAAAAAAAAAGGCTCTGTATTTTTATTAGCATTTAATCAAACTGCTAAATAGTTTAATAACGGGTATTTAAAAAACCTATCATAGCATTATCTATTTGTAAATAAAATATTATGTGCAAATATTAAATATGTTAGAAAATTTTACTATATAAGTAATGTTAAATATACAAAATATACAAAAACATAACAAAAATGTCAACAGTTTTTGAAAATCAAAAAAAGTTTTAGTAACTTTTGTTTATCATTATTATAACAAAAGTTTAATATCTAATTCGAATGTAGAATATAAAGAAATAATGTATTAATTATTAGTATCACAGAATATAATGCCTAAAAACCATTAAACTAAAATTAGATTAAAAATAACATCTTTTTCGATAACGGTTTTTCAACCATTTTAAAAATGCGCAAGTTTGTAAAATCAAGTTAGAAAGCTGACGTTGCTTTGATGTCAAAAGTAAAAACGCAAAAAAAGCAACGTTGTTCCAAAGTCGTTCGAACGTTAATCAGACTAACGTTGGTTTTACGTTAAACAACCAACGTTGTTCCAACGTCGTTTTAATGTTAACATTCAAGACTTTAGATGACAACGTTTTTCCGACGTTGTACCAACGTTTGATAGCAAACGTTAGAACAACACCGTTATGCCGAAGTTGGAACATCGTTAGAATTTAGTTAACTTGCGTCGCGACCAAAATACAACCAAATTACAAATACGGCTTGACGTCTTTTTCTTACTGGGGATAGCTTAGGTGAAAAAGAGGTAATAATTTAATAGTTGTTATTTATAAATAACGAGATATTCATTGCTACTTTTTTCTATATAAATGTTACCTAACATTTCGAAACATTCATAATTGTGTATAATGCCTAATTATAAAACAAGTTATAATAGATAATAATTATAAGTAAAATGTATTAGTAAATAAAAAAAACTAGTTAAAATGTATATAATAGTTGTATGATGTATTGTCTAGATTGGTGAAACGGAGAATGAGACCAACTACAGTAAAAAAAATAATGAATATCAAAATATGAATGGTACTTTGTTTAATATTTACCTGTTTTTACAGATACAGTGCAGTCACACTTATAAATTGGCTCGATGTTTTTTTTGATTGAATATGTTGTATTGATTGTTCTTTTTAACTTCTTAAAAATAATAAACATGTAAATTGTTTTATTTTCTGTAAAAATTGTTTTCTTGATATATTTCAATTGTTTATCACTATGTATATCACTTATAGTATTATATTACTTGTAATTTTTCGTTTTATTTATTTTCAGTATATTATACATATGCATGCATTAAATATTGTGGGAAAGTCAAGTTTTGACTTTCCCACAATATTATTTAAGCAATATTATTTACAGTATTATATAAGCAAGTCACAACACTTGCTGTATTAATTATGCATGTCACAACACTCGCTGTATTATTTATACAAGTCACAACATTTGCAATACATTTTTGGCAATTCATTACACTTGCTGTATTATTTATGTCACAACACTTGCCATACATTTTTGGTAAGTCACAACACCTGCTGTTTTATTTATGCAAGTCACAACACTTGCTATATAATCTATGCAATTCGCAGCATTTTCTGTATTATTTATGCAAGTTACAACATTTGAAATACATTTTTGGCAAGTCACAACCCTTACAGTGTTATTAAATTAATAAAACTCTCCGGAAACAACATCAGCAGCATGGTGGATCTTTTTCATGCAATAGTCAACAGGTTCAACATCAGTTTCATCATCTTTTCAGTAAAAAATGTTGTAAATAAAGTCATTTTTTTCTTTTATTAACTTTTCTACTCTGCCGCTATAAAAAACACTTTCGTATGTTTGATTAATTTTTTGTCTTTGGCAAGTCTAATCTTATATTTTGCATCAATGAAGTCGATTTGTAAATCTGTTTTTACGTGCTATATTAATTAAACATTTAACATTCTTTTCCACTAAACTTAAATCTAGAGTGTCTAGATAGTCGACAGGGTTATTATTTATTGATCTTAGTTTGCAAGAGATATAGCAAATTGTTTCATTAGAAGCCGTACTTGTGCATCACTAAACATATCCCACTACCTATATTGTGAAGCTGTTTCCTATTTAAATGTTTCCGCCACAGTAAACAGGCATGATAAAGGAGTGTAATTGAATACTAGTAGTTAATGACTAAATAATATAATAACAAATCATATAAATAGGGGTATAACTGATTCTCTTAAGAGTTACTTCATCTATATAATAATTAAATAAACTTTATTTTTACAAAGTAAAATAAAAATGTCTATACAGCATATCATCTAAAATATCTATATCTATATCTTTCTATCTATCTATCTATATATATATATATATATATATATATATATATATATATATATATATATATATATATATATATATATATATATATATATATATATATATATATATATATATATATATATATATATATATATATATATTTGAAAAGTGTTGTAAATTTTGTGTTTTAAACTATATTGAAGTTAACTTCGGAAACTAAAACCAATCAAAAGTTTTCTTTTTGGATTTAGAATATTATCCAGATAAAATTTACAACCTTATTTATTTTCAGGTATTGTAACGTTTTTGTGGATATTGCTTTTATTGACCGAAACTGAGCAATACAGTTTATCATTAAACTGTATTGCTCAGTTTCGCAGTGCAGTCATAAGTTCAAACTGTTTTACAAAGTATTAATCGCTTTAAAATATTATAAATTAATGGTTAAAATTTCTTAACTTGTAAAGGCGTAATTTTCAAGATATAGCTCTTTTAAATTTTTAATTTTCAATTTAAATTTTTATTTTTTAATATTAGTGTATGTTTTGATTCCTTTTACGCCAGTTTTTTTTTTGTTAATTTTATGTTTTTTGTATTTTACATAAGAGCATAAATAGACATATGAAATGTTAAAACTTTTAAAGTTATATTCTATAGCTTACATATAAACTATGTTTAGGAATTGCCTGAACAATATATCAGCTGAGTTCTAAACATTGTACTGTTTTGTTAAATTAAGTTGAATGATTAACATTTTGAGTTCGTTTAAAAATTAAACAATTTAATTCCAATAATATAGAAGATCTTGTTTCTCAACAACACTTAATATCAGAGCTAGAAAGTCCAGTAGATGTTTACAACCCAGCGGACACAGACGTCAATCAGACGCCTAAATAAAGACGTAAAGACGTCATTGTTAGGACGTTCTAGTGACGTTAACATAAAGACGTTATCAGGACTTCCATATTTAGATGTCCTATTGACGTCCCTAACACCTTTTTTAGACGTCCCAATTACCTTAGAAATAATTTATATATATATATATATATATATATATATATATATATATATATATATAATATATATGCATATATATATATATATATATATATATATATATATATATATATATATATATATATATATATATATATATATATATATATATGCATATATATATATATATATATATAATATTTTTAAGGTATACATATATATATATATATATATATATATATATATATATATATATATATATATATATATATATATATATATATAAATAAATTATGTTAGTGTATTCTACAAATAGAGTAATGTCTGCAATATTCTCTGAAAATTTCAGCAAATAAAAGTTGGTACTTTTATTCTTTTTTATATTATGTTTGTGTATAGGTAGCGATTCTTTACAGTTATTGGCGTTAGACAAAAACCTTATAATTTTTTTGAACTTTACTTGTTTATATCTTTTTTTAAGTTAAACATGAAACTTGAGATTTTTTGCTTTATTCAGTTTAAATCTACCTCTTTCCAATCATTTTTAGAAAGTACTAATTACTATCAACTACTTTACATATTATTGTTATTGCTTCACTCATTTATTTTACTTTTCGAAGTTTCAGAGAAAAGTTATGTTCCAACTTGCTGAAATGAAAAACATTTTAACAGATAGAACTGTACCGTACTCTAATGGTTCAGAAAAAAGGTTTCAAACAACATAAAAGTTTAGATGAAGTTAATGTTTTGAAAAGAAAAATTGCAAATGAAGATATCCAGTATATCACTTTATTATGCATAAATTTCATCTTGGTAGTTTATATGTTTTATATTATTACAATATTTCTTTTAAATTGTCGTGAACATTTTCAATGTTTCTTTCGCATTGTTTCTTTTTAGGTAAATCAGTTATCTTTAATTGGCGTTAAAAATCCAGCTGATACAATTTAAAAAATTTTGCTCTTGAAAATAATTAGCATAAGTTTGAATTTTAACATTTATGTTAGACAGCATGACACTTATCATCTTTTTCATATATGTAGACTTACAACAGACACTTTTTTGTCAGAATGCAGCATGAATGGTCTAAAGAAGAAAAAAAAGTTTAAAGAGTTGACAATTCTATATATTACTATCACTGGTATTCTCATTAGCTTATTATTGTGTTTAATTTATTTTTAAAATTAAAAACGATCTTTTAATAAAAAAGAATTTTTTTTTTCAATTTCTTTGGCCATGGAATATTACATGTATTTTATTTTATGATCTTATTGAACTATATGTTGATATTTATTAGATGCGGCTTTAAAGTAAAATAAAAGCATAACCAAAATGGATCTTATGCAACATATTAGGAGATTAATTAGACATTCTTCTGACCGATTCAAGATAAAATCCACCAATATCGATAACAGTTGTGTTTTTTATTTATTTTGCATTTTTCGTTAATTTTTTTTTTATTTATAATATGCTATCGACTATACTCTACCAAATTTGGAAAGTGTAACTTTGTTTGAATAATATTTACGTCTCTAGGACGTCTGAATAAGATTCACTTATCTCTTTCACATGAGACCTGCCAGAGACGTCCATAGGACGGCTGATAAGGCGTTTCTAGGACGTCTACAATAAACGTCCCAGGACGTCTTTAAAAGACGTCTTTAGGACGTCTGGAATAGTCGTCCTCAAGTCTTTCATTTAAGACCAACTTAAGACATCTTACGGACGAGACCTGAGACGTCTTATGAACGTCCTTAGGGCGTCAAAATGCCCGCTGGGAAAAATCAGGTAATATTTTATAATATATAAAAACATAAACAATGTACGATGCCTGTAAAACTCAATACTCACAGATTAATGTAACTGTAAAATTAAATACTCACAGTTTAATTTAACATTTTTACAGTTCGTTTTGAAACGAAATATTATATCAATCAGGAGGTGCTCAAAGTGTTTTAATTAACAATTTATAAGCTTTTAATTTGTGAGGCAACCATTAATGCAGAAAATACATGATTAAACATTCTTTAATTAGTTATCCAATAAAAGTATAATTTTAATAGTTATTTTATTTGAAATAAGCAAATGAAATTATTAAATTCCACCTTTTATATTATATGTTAGACAACTTAAAAGTATTTTTGCAATATTTAGTTTAGTTTTTTTACGGATGGAATCTTATGGTTCCGCATGTAAACCAATGACAAAGCCTGGTGAGCTTAGGAAAGTTTTTCATTTAGATTCTAGCTGAAAATTTATATATGGTCCTTTTAGTTTTATAGTAGGGTATTTTGTTGGGACTTATACAGAATACTCGTCAGGCTAATCCAGATGAGCCTCAGATAGAAACCGCAGTCTACAATAGGCAAAACCCCATTGGGCATCTTATATGGGTTTTAGTTAATGACCTAAGCATTACCTGTATCAATGTTGGCTGGGTAGTGCTTTAATAATACTTTATGAAGTGATAAACAAGTTACTAAGCAGTTAAATGGTTTATAAATCTAGCGCTTACCCTGACTAGCTCTTGAAACTAAAGTGTAACTTTACAGCTGGTTGTAAAACCAAGCGCTGCTTGTATATAAATCTTCAACATTTTCAGATTAGTTTAAATGAACAAAGTTGAAGAAAAATGATTCTGTTAATGGATCAATTTTTACAACTATGGTGTTAATAATTATGACAAATATAAAGAAGGCTTTTTAGAAGAGTTTTATTAACCCTCCTAACAGCCCCTTATAGTTTTTATACTTCCCCTTATAGTTCTTATACTTCCCCCCCTCGCTGGATTCGTCACTGATTATAATAAGTCAAGTTCTTTTAACTAATATTTATTAGCTTTTTTATTAAAATGCAGGTTTTTACCAATTTGCATATATATTTTTAGTCAAAATTTCTATACCAATTCCTTATTTACTTCAATATTTTTTAGTAAAAAAATTTATTCTAAAAAAAATTAAGAGCAAATACCTTTTCCGCATACGTAGAGCTTATAAGAGGCTATTGATTACGTTTTTTTCTTCTCCTAAATGCATTTCATTGAGAGCCCAGTGGTTAAATGCGAATTTATCAGTGTTGTTTTGGAGGGTTCAAAACCTCCTTTTAGCGTAATAAATTTTGATTTTTTTTCAATCTTGTTTATATATTCAAAGCAAAAAAAAAGGAATATAGAAAAAAAGATTTCTAAAATTTAAAATAGATTTTTCAAGTTTTCTCATTTTATAGATATATAGATATACGCGATTACTCCATAAAATGCCTGCAAGCTCAACATAAAGGCGTTTACACTTACATAAGTTTGTACGTTACGCTATACAAATTAAATTAAGAAGATCTAAGAGCACTAAACTTAAGTCATAAAAAACAACTAACTCTTATGATTAGGAACTAAAAGAAAAATATTCAACGCTTATTTAAAAGTTAAGCCAAAATGATTTTGGGCATTGACGTCAGTTTGGGTCAAAATAAACCTTTATGCGTCAAATTTCCTTTTGCATTTATCTCTTTCCCCCTTTGTCACCTGTTGTCCTTTTTCCCTTACCCCTTAAAAATGACATCATAAAATCTTGCTCCCCCCCCCCCCTTCTATTTAAACCTCCCTAAACATTATTTCATCTCGCAATGTTGTTTGAATTTCCTGCTACAGCTTTGAAAAATAAAGTTAAAAATATTCTCATACATAATCTTCTTAAAAAAGTGGCGTACTTTTCTGACGAACTCACCCCCTCCCCTTGTTCTTTTTTGTTATTTTTATCTCAAACCCCTCCCCCCCTCTCCTGTGTATATTGTACATCCTTTATGTATAGTCCCTTTTGTCTTTATTAAAATATATCCCATAAAAATATGTTCTATATATCTTTAATAGATAGAGTTTTTGTAAAAAATTGAAATAAAAACTTATTTCTATGACTACCATTTTTTAAGGTCTAAGAAGAGGATGCATAACTTAAGAAATCAGAAATTATCGAGAGAGGAGCAAATCTAAAGTTGAAGTTTCAAGTTTTCCACTCGGAAGTGACAATATGATCCTGAATAAAACGTTATATAAGTGGATTTTTTACATATTATAAACAATATATATTAACAAATAGCATATATGTTAATAAACATTGTTTATATAGAGATGGTTAAGCGCAACAAATTTTAAAAAAAAAATTAGTTTATATTAAAATTAAAAAATGATTTATATAGCGTTTCTTTGCAAAAACCAACGCACTATAATATAACTTTTAAGTGCTACAATAAAATTTTGAACTACAATTATTATATTAACTAAAATCAAAATTTTCACAATAATAATATTTTTAAGCAATTATTTTTAAGCAATTATTTTTTTTTTGCAAATCCCCCCCCCCCCTCGCAATTTCCCGTACGCTTTTTTGAGTACTCTCTACCTCCCTAAAAGTACCTACGCTTTTAACCTATTAATCCAACATTTTATGATATTTTTTTAATTTTGTGTCACCATACTTTTTTAATTGACCTACTGCCCCTTTATCTTAAAAACGCCATTTGCAGACCTCCTCTTTTTCTCCGAGCATACGTATGGACGATCTCTTAGTGGCTTTTGTTAAGAACTTTTAAAATTTTCAAATAGTCTCATTTTTAACATATTCGTTTTATCATTCATACTGCAGCCGTCTTTCAAAACGCCTGAAGATTAAAAACATCATTTTTGACTTTTTCACAAAATAAGTTTACAAACGTTATTGAATAAATATTTTTAAAGAGTTTCAAACCCCCTTTTAATATTTTGTTCTGTGTCAAAATAACCTTTTTACAATACCAATGAAAAAATTGTGAAAAAAGGGCAAACATATAAACAGACAAGGTTGCTAAGGCCAATACTAGGGATTCGAAAATTAACTTGTTGCTTTTAAATACTAATTTAAGTACTTTATATTGATTTTTTAAGGAAAAAAAGATATATTCGTGATCCAAAATGTTCAAACTGTTAAAGTTTGAAAAAAACAATTTTTCGTTTTTTGATGTTTTTATTAGGGTAGTACCACCTTAAGGGGTTTTGAAAAACAGCTGCTGCATATATTTATAGTAAAAAATAAATGTTGCAAAAAATGTCAATGGCACATTTTAAATTTTTTTCTAGCTACGGGCTTTTTTTTTATTTTTTATTTTTTGCATTCACATCAGCACCTTTTTGAGTAGCATGACTTTCTTATTTATTTAATATAGTTTTTTCTTTAATAAGTTTTAGACAACTTTTTTCAGACTATCTGCAGCTTATTAGGACTAATTATTTGAGCACATTAATAATATTAGTGTCTCAATCATCAAAATGTTATACGCAACAAATTTTTTCTACAGGTGATGTTTGTTTTTTTTTGTTAATGTTTTATGAAATTTTAGCTTTCTTAAAATCTTTTCTTTTTTGAAAGTGCGCAATATCATTACGTTACATATGTTTGTATCTAATCTTTATAAAACTTGAAAATTATTTTGTATTTAAAAAAAAAGTAAAAAAAGTAAAAAAAAAAAAAAAAAAAAAAGCCGCCATTGGTTAAAATCGAACCTCCGTTTACTTGTTCAGAAACTCGGCGCCTTATCTACTCGGATAAGGAGCCGAGCACTGAACAAGTAACCCGATTCACACTGGCACATCATCAAGCGAATATTTTTAAAAGAATGTAACGATTTTTTTTTTTTTAAATGTTATAGATTAAAATTTAGGAGGGCTTGACGCAATGCAATTTTCAAGTGAAAATTAAACTGTAAAACTTGATAAATGTTTCAGAATGTTTAAAAATATTTTTTAACATTACTTAATTTAAAGTTTACGTACGTTAGATACTTGGATACGTGTTCGTTTACGTTTTCTTGTAAAACAATGTGCTGCAACTCTTTTTCGCCATTACCTCAGTTCAATGTCTGCTAGGAGTACCGTGTCAAACAGGCTCGAAAGCGCACTTCTATTAAGTTCGGCAATAATATATCATAGGTAGATTATGGCCCGCGGTTGATATCGCCGGAAAATCGAAAACATCAATCACGTTACGTAAATACAAAATTAAAAATATAATAAATTTTCCTTAATTAATTTTTTTAAATGTTTCTTATAAAAATTTTTGTTTCTACATTAATCACTAAAATTTTTTTTGCATTTTGACAATATAATTTAGTATGTTTATTTTATTAATTTCTTGATTTAATATTGCAAAAAAATATATTATAAATTAAGTTATTATTACTAATATTACTATTATTGTTTTTGTTTTTATTATTATTATTATTACAACTTTTTTTATAACAATCATTATTGCTACAGCATTTAATAATTAATGATTAACTCTTGTTACTATGAACCTCGTTGTTCCTATAAATAATTTTTATAATTGTTATTGTTGCTATCCCTATTCTTTCTATTTTGTTGACATATAAACGTTATTGTAACAAACACTGCATGAAAATGAATATCTTGTTGTTGTTGTTGTTGCTGTTGTTGTTGTTGTTGTTGTTGTTGTTGTTGTTGTTGTTGTTGTTGTTGTTGTTGTTGTTGTTGTTGTTGTTGTTGTTGTTGATCATTTTTTTCTTCTTTACATAAATAAACTCAGAAAGCATTTCTATGAATGTTCGTTTTTACTTGAAAATATTTTGGAATGTTATATAAAAACAAAAATCTCAGCCAATTGAAGACAACCAGAATCTTTATTTATAATAACAAATTTGGCAAAATTAGATACTGTAAACATTTGTTTTATATCAGATGTTAACGTCCCAATCTCGTAAAAATCATTTGACTTGTCTGTTATGCTTACAAATAGTTTTGAACCAACTATTCTGTCTGGACAACAGTCTCGTCGGTTGTAAACATCAATTCGATTTAACCAATATATATTTTGTAATTCTAGTCGGAACCAACTTAAGTTTAACAAATCACAATCAGTAGTCATAAAGGAATTCAGGTTTCCGTCAACTGCGGAAGCTGCCGCGTAACCTGGATCACCAAAACTGATTGACGAAGAGGTTGCCATTCCCCCGCTCGTTAGATCAACTGTATCTGTAATTTAAGAATACTCATAGACACTAGCAAAAAATAAGCCGTTAAATGGGTCATGGGAGCTAAACTTATCAATAACAGAGCGTTTTTCTAAAAGGTGGTAAATTCTATTTAAAATGTCTTATAAAAAATTAAAAAAAAAACTCATTAATAGGTTCATTATTTTCAGAATCTAAATATTATCTAAATTGTAAATTAAGATTTTTTTTTTTTAATTCATACCTTCATAATTAGGTTTGCGTCTCTTTCAATAAAGTACCCGATCCTTGAAAAAACTCAAATTCAGGAAAAAAAGTTTGTGTCATTAAAAAAACGCTCCATTATAACCTACTATAATAACTCTATAAGTTAGATTTTTTATATAAAAACTTTTTGTACAAGAAAAGAAAGTGAGCTACACACCCATAAAATAAACCAAGTAGTCTACAATAAATTTTTAATAACAAAAAAAAACAAATATGTAACCTCGCGGTAGAAAAGGGGCCAGATAGGGGGAATGAGTTAATCATATCACAGAAACAAGCTAATTAAACTGAACGAAATGACGCCAAGATCTTTAAAATAGCTCAACTACATTCAAAGTTATAATTTTTTAGATTCTAAAGTTTAAAAAAGGCAATTGTTGGGAAAATCAATTTTAATAAAAAAAGTTGTTTGCAATGTTTTTGTTATAAATCTGTATAACAATATATAAATTATGCAGATTTGAATTGATTACATTAGACAACATCATCTTTAATGAAAATAAACAATAAAACAATGAACCAAAACCTGTTTTATTTAAAAATCCAACTTTTGAAGGTCAAAATAATATACAAAAAATAATGACAGAATTGGGGAAATCATGTTTTTTCAAAAAACATTATAAACATAATTATACCATGTATACTATTTTAAAGTGTCAATTATCAGGGGCTGGTCTTGGAATTTTGTAAGGGGGCTACCTTACCAAAAATTCTATTTTCATGAATTTTTCTTTGTGGATGAGTCTAAATAACACATCAAAAAACAGAAAATGAACCCCTAAAGGGGGGCCAAGCCCCACCACCCTCTCTGAATCCGCCCCTGGTCATTATAATTTTTATTTTTTTTTAACATTATATTTTTACCGGTTAATAAGTATTACAGTTTACAAAAATTTACTATTAAGTTAATGGCCGGAGCAAGTAGAAGGCATTAATTTGCCTTATCGCCGAGCACCGTGTTACAATTTATAATTTTTTACAGAGTTATTGAAGAATATATAGTATATAAGAAAAATTGAATAAATGTTTACAAGAATTCATAAAAATAAAATAAGATATCGTTTAATACATAATATCATAAATAGACAAAATAAAAGTAAAAATGAATAAATATAAATTTATATACACATTTGCACACTTAAACATATAAGCGAACATATACCCATATATATGAACACACACAAACACACTTATATAAATACACATATTTGCATAGATACACACACACATACGCACATACACATATGCACATGTACATATACACATACACACATACATATATATATATATATATATATATATATATATATATATATATATATATATATATATATATATATATATATATATATATATATATATATATATATATATATATATATATATTAATATATATATATATATATATATATATATATATATATATATATATATATATATATATATATATATATATATATATATATATATATATATATATATATATATATATACATACACATATATATATACATATACATATATACATATATACATATACTCACATACACATACACACATAAACAAGTACAAATATACACACACATGAGTATAAATATATCTCATAAGTGTGATTTGTAATAATGGTTATTGTCAATAAATTTTTAACCTTTTTTTTTTAATGATTACAAGGAACAGTTACCTTGTTTTTATTTATAATTGATATATCTGATCTATTTTAAAAGAAAGACTTATATTAAAATAAATCTGTGCTTAATAAAAACTTTTAAAAGAAAGACTTATATTAAAATAAATCTGTGCTTAATAAAAACTGTTTTGAATCAGTTTTGAACTGATGTCGAGAAGTTTTCTTTTCGGAAACAATGTTTGGGAATCTTTTCCACAAAAGTGGTCCGCGATTCTGAATTGAATAAGAATTCTGTTTAGAATGAGATTTTGGAATAGCAAAGTGGTTTGCCGATAATCTTGTAGCATATATATGGTTTATTTCTTTAAAATAAGTTTCAAAGATTTTGGGGGACAGCCCATATTTTGTTTTATACATAAACTGTAGAACAAGATTAAAAATAAGTTTAAAAATATTCAAGGCACCAATTATACGTAAAAGAGATTCACAAGGAATCGCTCTAACAACTCCAAATATAATTCTAACAGCATTTTTTTGATTGCTATAAAGTTTTTATAGCTTAGTGTGGTTAGTACTTGCCCATATGATGTTGCCGTAAGTTAAGTAACTATGTATAAAAGAAAAATATGAATTTTTTAATGAATTAAAACTTAAAATTGGCCTAACCTTATATAGATTCTATATAGATCATTTCAATGTTTTTTTAACCCTATATAGAACCCTATATAGATCATTTCAATGTTTTTTGAGTTTTTTTTTCTATAGAAATTATATGTATTTTCAATAATAAATTTTCATCAAAGTTTCTAAAAAATTTACAGATTTTAATTTTAGTTTTAATGTTAGTTTTAATGTTAGTTTTATTTATTAAGAGATTGGGCAGAATAAGAGGTAATTTTTTTGTTTTGTTTAGTTTGTGGAAAAGAGAAAATTTAGTTTTTTGAACATTCAAAGACAATTTGTTGCATTTAAACCATTCATTTACTTTATTTAGTTCTTCATTTACTACTGTAAAAAGTGTTTCAATATTTTTGTGAGAATAAAAAAGATTCGAGTGTGTGAACCCTGTGGGACTCCGCAAGTTATAGTTTTTTTGGTCGTTTCAAATTTTCAAATTGTATGCATTGTTTTCTGTTCGAAAGATAATTTTCAAGCCAAAGTTAGTTTTTTAATTTTCAATGCCTTTTTTTGTCAAAATAATTACTTTTATTAAAATTGAAGTAAAAGGCTAAATAATTAAAATGAAAAACAATGATTATGATTTTCAGAATCAGCAAAAAAAACTAATTAAGAAAAATTGATTTAACTATAAAAAAAGTCTCCTTTACTCCGTAATATTCCAGTTTTTATATTAAAATAGAATGATTTACCGTATCAAAACCTTTGGACAGATCAATAAAAACTCCTAACGTAAAACAGTAATAGTGTAATAGTGAATTCAAATCACCATAATAGGTATACTTAAGCATACTGATATTTAAATCATTACCTACATTATCGCTAAGTAGATAAAGGACCACAAGAGGCCGAAATTTTAAAGTACACATCAAACAATTTTTTGGGACGTATTACACAGCAGAATGAATTCTTTGTATCACGTAATCATTGATACAATAAATAATAGTAAAACTTACAGAAATTCTGTTTTTTATAAAATTTTAATTTTTTAATGAATTTAAACGAAAAACAAAAAATAAAAAAAGTGCTACCGATAAAAATGGTAAACACTTGAGCTTATCCAAACATATAATGTATTTTTATGCCCCCCAGAGATTAAAAATGAATGATACGAAAGGTAGCTTTCGTAAAGTACTGTTTAAACTAACCAAAACCAAAATGCAAAAGAAAGAGCTAGAGTTCTTTAAAATTCCCCACTCCGGTCCAATTTAAGGAACTTTTTCATACGCTCAACAAGAATTAAACGAACGTTAATATGACCAAAATAATCAATTCAGTTAATAGTCTGATAATCCATCTATCAAATACAAATGGAAGCAGCAAGTTTAAAACCACAGGTTACTGTGTTTAAACGTGATTTTCTCAGAAACTAGGTCCCGCTATGTGGTCCCATTTCTACCGCGACGTCACATATATTAAATTCTAAATGTAAGGATGACAATAACGGTTAAGGTGGTACTAAAGCTTTCATTAAAAATGTTAAATAATGTATTTAAAAGTTGCAAATTAGAAGTTTTATATATAAAAAACTAAAATATATAAATTTTGAAGTAATTTATTTATAAAGAATACCCAAATCTAAAAGCAATAGCATAGGTCCCATAATGATGTAGGAGTTGTACTAAAATCATTTAGTGTATGCATATAGTTTAGGGGTAAAGTTTAGTCCTAAACTATATGCATACATCTACTGTATGCATATAGTTTTGGAATAAAGTTTAATCCTAAACTATATGCATACACAAAATGATTCTAGTACAACTCCTACATCATTATGGGACCTATGCTATGGTAAAGTTTTGGAGCAAATAAATGACCCTTGAGATATTGCATACTGCGTATTTTTCTTTTTATGTGTTTTTAGATTTGGGTAAGCGATGCAAAAAAAAAATTATTTACAAATTATTTTAAATTTTGTATATTTTAGTTTGTATATATAAAACTTCTAATTTTCAACTTTTTAATACATTATTTAACATTTTAATAATAGCTTTAGTTCCACCTTAAGGTATATCTTCCTTTTTATTTTTAAATAATTTAATTTGTATTATTGTATGATTTATAAAATTGCAAATATTTTAAGAAGTTTTAGTATTGTAACAATATTTAATTAGCTTTAATATATCGCAAAATGATTACTGATAAAACCATTAAAAAATAATCAATAGTTTCTTAACTTGAAAAAAATTGAAGATGTAGCAACAACTGGGTAACCAAAATTATGACCTGTATTTTTTATTATTTGTAAACCTTGTTTCTGTAAAATTTAAAATCTTTTATGGTATTATCAGTTACTATATTACAGATATTACCGATATAAAGTTGTTACTTACAAACTCAAAAAATTTATTACCGAAGCAAGTGTAGTTGTGAACCAAAGTTTCATTGACTGTTAAACATATATCTCTACAATTATTACTTCCGCATGGAGTATTTGTTTCGCAAATCGGACCAATCTATAAAACCTTAATGAGTTATATTGAAAAAACTTTTTACAATATATATATTTATATATATATATATATATATATATATATATATATATATATATATATATATATATATATATATATATATATATATATATATGTATATATATGTATATATATATATATATATATATATATATATATATATATAAACATATATATATATAACTTTTTACAATGTATATATATATATATATATATATATATATATATATATATATATATATATATATATATATATACATATATATATATATATATATATATATATATATATATATATATATATATATATATATATATTGTAAAAAGTTATATTTATATATATATATATATATATATATAATATATATATATATATATATAAACATATATATATAACTTTTTACAATGTATATATATATATATATATATTGTAAAAAGTTATATGTATATATATATATATATATATATATATATATATATATATATATATATATATATATATATATATATATATATATATATATATATATATATATATATATATATATATATATATATATACATATTGTAAAAAGTTATATGTATATATATATATATATATATATATATATATATATATATATATATATATATATATATATATATATATATATATATATATATATATATATATATATATATATATATATATATATATATATATATATATGTATGTATATATAAATAGATTAGGGTGATTCAGAATGAGAAAATTCTCAAAATAAAAATACGTATCCCGTTAAATTTGGTGCAAATATATAGAAAGTAGGTTTTAAAGGATACCAGGCATTTTCCGATTACTCTAGACTCTCCCTCAAGACTCATTTTTGTAAATTGCTGATTTTAGTGACGTTGATCAAAAGTTGCATATTTCAGTGACTTTGAGGGAGGGTCTAATATAAACCAAGTTGGCTGATTTAAAAAAAGGGCATACAATACATACATTTTGGATTTAAAATTATACGTATTTTTGTTTTGATTTTATTACCGAGAAATTTTTTAATCAAATTATCTATAAATTCATTCTTCTTAGTTCAATTAGTAATCTATTTGCCTTACCTCTCCCCTCATCCTTATCTACCCCCGGGTCCCTCCTCATTTTTTTACCTCCTCATTTTTCGATTCAAGTTTTTATGCCAAAATAACTTTTTAATTTTACTCACGCCAATTATGATAAAAACAAGATTTTCTATTTAACTTACAAAAAAGCCTACAAAAGAAAAAAAAAGTTTTCTAATGACTTATGAATTTCTTGAAATTATTCTTGAATTATTCATTTTTGTCATCTTGTTGGAACTTTTTTCAGGGTTTTACATGCCATAACAAACTTTGTTTATGGTTATCAGTCTCATTTGTTTTTCTTCTTCACTAATGTATCTATGGATAAACTCCTGCATCATGCCTACATTTCTTTCTGCTCATTAGTTTGCTATAATAAAAGATTTTGCATAAACTAAAAACTGCTTGCAATATGATTGAATGTGCCAAAAAGATGCTAGAAGTGAGAACCAATTGCGTATTCTATCTTCTGTTAACACATATACTGCAAAAATAAATTAGAAAAACTCGTTAGTCGCTCGCATTTTAGTTTATTTCCTTCAATTGTCATAAACATTTTAAGTTTTTACATCAAAATGAATTATTCATAAGAATGTAGATAAACGTAGATAAACTTTTGTTTTAATTTCTTCTTAAGCAATATTTGAAATTTCTTTATTTTCTCTTTTCATTCTTCTATCTATTCTGCAGTTGAAAGACTTGGCGTTCATGTCTACTTCTGCAGCTTGAGCAACCACGGTCGTAATTCTCTGCAGAACCATAGGAGAGAAGTTATTAACAGTTGCCATTTAAGCAACATTTTCCGAATAAATATGTTTAGTAATATTGGTCCGAATTTTTGTTCTGCTTGGTTTATTTTTTCTTTTAATTCATTTGCCTGGCTCAATGTCAGAAACAGAAAAGTTATCTGAACTTAGTACATCATTACCGTTTTCTTCGTAAAATTTTAAGATTTTACTCGGTAATCCGTTTTTCATTGCATTTTTGCGCTTCCTTATATTCAATGATTTTACCTTGTATAAAAATAAATTTATTAGTTATAAGTATATATATAGTTATATATATATAGTTATAAGTTAGATTGAGAAAAAAACAAAGTTAAAGCATATTTAATAAATTTATCAAACTATAAAGAGTATATTATTTGAAAACTAAATATGTGGATGAGAATCAACATAATGTAGCTCAAAAAATAAAGTAAAGTTAGTTAAATCTTAAACCTTTATAAACTAAACATTTATAAACTAAAACCATTAATCCTTAAACATTTATAAACTAAACATTTACCAAACATTACTTTTCATGTTTAAAATGAAACATGGAATATCTCCACTTATATTTCACTCTTATTTTAGCAAAATATCTTATAAGTATCCAACAAAGTTTTCAAAGGATAACTTTATTGTTCCGAGAATTAATTTAAAAATAAGTTCTTATCAAATTCAATATCGAGGACCTTTTTTATGGAAAAATTTTTATTAAAAACTTTAATAAAGAACACTACTCTTTAGAAAAATTTAAAACAGTTTTTAAAAGAATCTTACTTCAATTAGATTTTAATTCAATAGACTTTAAATATTTTTTTTAATAGGTAATTTGGAAATAGAAAAATCGCTTCCATTAGCACTAAATATATTTTGTTATATGTATCAAATATATTTGCATTAGTATACAAAACTTTCTTTATTTTTAAATTTTTAATATAATTGTTATTTTATTATTTGTCAAAAGTTATGTACTCTTTAACGTTTATTTGTATATTTTATTCATATTTGTTTATAAACACGGACATTTTGTAAACAAGGCTCGGTGATAAGACAGTCATTGTCTTCTCTTGCTCCGGCCAATTTTTATAAATGTAATATGTCTTTATTGTAAACATATGAAACGGCAAAAAAATAAAAAATAAAAAATCAATATTTTATATATTAAAGCTTCACTCCATATTGTAAAGTAACTCAATAGTTTATCTACTTTGAGAGCATCATTTAATTTAGATTTGACGCAAAAATGCCTAAACATTTTTAAAAAAACTTACACTATGCAAATTCTCACAACCAAAACATAATCAAATTACTTTCTTAGTATATTTAGTGTCTAGAGGATCCAAATGATATATTCTTGGACCTTCTTGATCTTCGAAGAATTGTAAATCTTTGATTTTAGATTAATTGGATCTTAGCTTGTCACTTTGAATAAAATCTTTTAGTTCTGGAATTCCTATCCTAAAAATACGTTTAACAAAATTTTTAAATCCTATTTGATTTTTAATACCTTGTTTTGAGTTTTTTTGACATTCTTAAATAAGTTAGAATACTTCGAATATTTACGTCGCTAATAACTGGAAACCCTGCTTTAATCCATGGATGTTTTATTTTTGCTATGATACATTCACATTCAACTAGTTGACACCTATCAACCTTTAAGTTTAACTTTGGAGGACAATATAGAATACAGGGACTACTAAAATAACGGGACGCGAAACTTCAAATCGATGCTAAAACGACGACAGGGCCGATTGTAAATGGCGATGTTAGTTTGATTTAGCAAAGAAGTTATGAAAAATTTACATTAATCTAATTATATTCACATTTTAGAATACATTAAAGTGATACAAATTTATATTACTAATATAATGTATATATTTTTCACCAGTATATGATAAAATTTAGGTTAATACAATAGAAATATTGGGAGATATTTACAACATTTTTTAAAAAAAAGCCTTTTTTTTTTTGAAAAAAGTTGCTATTTTTATTGAAAAATCAAAAGTTTTTATTTTTTGAAAGTAGTAAGATTAAAAAATTGTATTAAGTAATTTTTAATTTGAGTAATTTATTTTAAGTAATGAATCTATTAAGTGTTACAAAATGTTATGTCATATTTATAATAAATGGTAAGCGAAAGATACTATGACTCAAAATGAGGTTTTGATTTTTTTAAAAAACGAAGACCAGATATATTACTGATTTGAGGAGAAATGTAGGAGAGTGCTGCTACATCGATTGATCTATACCTGTCCTAACCCAAACCCTCAGCCGATGTAGCAGCATTCCCTTGCATGTTATCCCTAAATTAGTCAATGTAGAAGCACTCTCCTACATTTCTCCCCAATTCAGTAATATATCTGGTCTTCGTTTTTAAAAAAATCAAAACCTCATTTTGAGTCATAGTATCTTTCGCTTACCATAATAAATAATAATGGTGTTACTATTATTAGTTATAATCATGCCAAGAAAATGTTCAATAGTTAATTGTACCACAAATTATTTAACATCAACTTCAGAAGAAAAGCTTCATGTTTACATGTTTCCAAGTGACCCACAAAAGTTACAATATTGGTTGTCATCTATTCCAAATGCGTTTGAAAAAGTAACTTCAAATATGGGTGTGTGTGAAAAACACTGGCCACCAGGCTGCAAAATGCACAAGCCTCCTCGATCAAAGTTTGAGGTAAAGCATCCTTTAAGTTGTTTTTATTGATAAGTTTTACAATGACTAATTTTAATAATATCTTTTTTAGGTTCCTGTTGATCCCCCATCTATTTTTCCTGGATGCACATCTTCAATGGTGCGCCAAACAGTCTCAACACAACCAAGATCTACAAATATAAATAAAATTTCTTTAACATCACGAAATGCAATACCTGATGAATTGGATGATTTCAATCAAATTGATTTAATTAAATTTTATGATGTTGAAATAATGTTGTCTGAAATAAAAGAAAGGTAAAATTAATTTTTTCTCCTCGTTTTATGATATTTGTTTGTTTTGATTTAAAGTTTACTTGTTATTAAATCTATTTTAGATATCCTCAATACTTTGCGTTCATTGAAAATTCAAAAGTCATATTGTTTGATGTTTCTCGATCATGTCTACCTGA